TTCAGGTCAATTAGAGTCAAACTACTAGCTTATTGGTTATGAACAAGACTTCACTTTAAAATAGGTAACATGTTCTTAGATATAAATACCTCATTTAAACACAATTAACACTTATAGTTTAATGTATTGTTAGATAAGAATAGATCATATTTGTTAAGTGTTATTATGGGAGAATTACTATTCTTGTGGGACTTATTAGGCCCATATTGAGCAGAGCATATACAACAACTTCCTTAATTGCAATACATAAGCACTAATTAGAGTGTTATTGAGGAAAAACTCTCAACTAATGGCTTATTACTTGTAGAATATGGTCATGTAGAATAAGGCATTAATAAGTGTTTTATAATGACTAATAAAGAGCCAATATACTGCTAAAATGCATGTTATTTAACAACTAGTTGATGGTTAATTTGTATACCTTAATATAGAGTGTTACCCCATTTTTCTCCTGGTACCATGATCTACTTATTCCATATGAACCACTCTAACCTCCTGGACTCTGCAGTAGCTGACGCACCTTCAGTTAGCTAGGTCCAAAACTACCTAGCTCAACAGTGATAGCACAAAAAACAGAATAAATGTTTGTTCTAATAAAGCCCAGACAGAACACCAGAATTGCACTGCCAACAGGAAAACACCAACCACAGAAACTATTTTTCTCTAACTATGCCCAAATAGTTAGTAGCACATTAAAGCTCACCTATTAAGCTATATTTGAACGATACATTATAGGGCCATATCTATAAAAAAAATTTCTCTGAAGCGTTTTGCTCAAAATACCAAACAGATCACCCATTGTAGTCATGCCTCATACCCCTCTATTTCAGCCTGTAGTGTTAGATTTACCATGAAGTCTCATTTAAATATATAAGTTCCTTCTCTGGTTTGATTTTCCCGCAGTTTGAATGTATCAGTCCTAATGTAAACTAGGGCTGTCATTCCCAGGCTTTATCACACCTTTAATACAAAAGACTGGTAACCTTATGTTCTCCTACACTGGACAGACATGGTCACTGGACAATTGTCAGGCAAATTATCATATGGATGTTACCTGTTTTATGTCCCTTTTGTTTCCTGCTCCTCTGTATAAATCACATTTCTGTGTAACGGGATTAGATTTCTTTAGCACACATTGGTGCAGGTTATCTTTCCTTCCAGTTAGAAATAAGATTGATTGTTAAATGCTATAACTCTTTATTAAAGAGTACAACTTTGGTTTAAGCTTGTATATTTGTTCTTTTTTTTACCTGAAAGCGATTAAGTGTGGAATTTCCACCACACAGCCCTGTTTTAAAAAATGCTGAATCTGGGTCTGGCACTTTAATTGTAACTGAACTGCTGCTGGCCACGTCCCGTTGGAGCATGCACATGCAAGCAGTGAGCTCTTAAAAGAGAAGTGTCCTTTCTACCGGCAGAAACTCAGCCAAATGCTGCCGTGATTAAACGCCATGTTATGTTCAAAACCACATTAAGCATTATTTCTGAAACAGTATGGAGCTCAAACAATTTCTCTCTCTCACAGGTTTACCACAAGGACAATACCTTTTATATCCTGCTTCTTTACAAATATTCTCTCCAGTAGGCCTAAAGCTCTGAGTGTTAGCGAAGCTTGCTAATGTAAACACAGACCATATTACTTCCAAAACACGTTGTGCATTGTTTCTGATACAGCACACAGCTTGACATGTTATCTATTCAGTTTTTACCGCTAGAACAGTGCCATTGTATGTATTATATATATCACAACTTTACTCTAAGTCCCTCTCGTAGACATCCTGCTGAATACACAGACACACAGCTTAGGGAGGGGATTCAGCTAGCCGACTGTATATGGGGAGGATAGGTTGGGACGTGGGCGGAACGTTGCCAAGAGTTCAATGTAAAGCCAGCCCATATTTTAGTAATGACGTCAAGTTCTCAGAAAATCTGGATCAGCTCCGTTGTACCCCCACACACACCGGGGACACATATTTATGTTTAAAAGACATCAAAAAGTGCATTTTGCATAATAGGTGACCTCTAAAATCCAAAATGTATGTAAATAGAGTGAAAATACTAACACATTTGCAGCCAGAGCTTGAACAGCCCATACATAGCCTCATAACCACAGCTATGCCCCTCTAACTACCTAACATGAAACTAACTAAACTCCCCTTGAGTTAAAGGTGTTATGGGTATTTGTGCACTGTACCCGCAAGACCTGTAACTGAAATTGGTCACCTACCTGCAACTTTAAATGACGTCCCAATATAGACGGATGCCATGTTCCACTCCAGCCACTCACGCCACACTACCAAACTTCCCAACACACACTAAAGAAAATCTGATCTCAAGACTAAATGGACAGAACAGCAACTCACTTTTGTGTATACAGGACCACCAAAACTAACTCACCACACTCCATGCTCTTTTTTCCCAAACAAGACTGCATTTATTAACAAAATGAGGTGCAACTGCCTGCAACACCCATCGACACTGCCCAAAAGAATGGGTATAACTCATGAACAGAAGAAGATAGAAGCTTCAAATCACTTCTCGCACAATCCCAACAAATGTTTGCAGTTTTCTGTGTTGAATGTTTTTTTCAATATTAAGGTTAGAAGTGTCTTTGTTTTTTGTTTGAATAAAATAAGTAAAAAATAAGCAAAAAATTCAAGCTCCATTTTTGTTTTATGGGCATACATCCCCTATTATAGTGTATATAAGTATTTAATGTGTGACATATAACATTACCTGAGGTTATGTTGATTTCTGGGATGTGTAAAACTTGATAATACTGTAAAAAATGATAATTTACAAGGCAAGACACAAACATATACAATAACGGAAATGTCCTATTGTGGGCCTCAGCGGGTTAATGGATGTATTATGCAGATATCTGTAATTCAATTATACTGGGACAAAAGGAACATTTGAGTCATCCATTATCACCTGGTTCTATATGTTTATAACAAAACAGTAGTTTTTATTATATATTATTCTATTAGGTGCTATACGTTCTATTTTAAGCTACGGTTTTAAAGTCAAATACTTATTTTTGCCTCTGAGTAGCCATGTCAATCAAATAAAACTCACACACACACTATCCAAAACATTCTTTATGAATGAAGGAAATGCATTAAGGGAGATGCAGTGTAGACAGGCAGAATAAATTCCAAACAACGGTTATAAAATAAATGAAACCTGGTCCTAAGACTTTTTCTCTGAAAATAAAAAATAAGTGTGCACCTTTATAAACCCAAAACTGTATGAAGGAGGAAGTGGAAGTAGTAATACATATTGTCATTCTTTGATAGCTAAATGTATAATTAAAGGTCCCCTATTATACTGTTTTTCATCAATATATTATAGGTCTCAGATATATACAAAACATGTCTCTGAAGTGTTTGGCTCCAAATACCAAACAGATAATTTTAGCATCCCATAATCCCCTCTGTTTCAGCCCTGTTTCAAAAGTGCTGACTCTCTGTCTGTTACTTTAGATGAAAATAAGGAGCCCCTTCCCACGCCCCTCTGAGAGATATTTGGTTACAAAGAACACAATAGTGCTCTAGGAGGAGATTCACGAGATAAGGTGGAGGGGTTACCTTGGTTAGTTATTGGCTAATAATTACGCTAGCCAAAGCAAATCGTTATTACATCATAAAGTGGCCAAAATCTCATCAGCTCATTTTCAGACTACTACTTTCAGTTTTTATATGAATGGATCAGGACAAAGGTGAGCGAATCTTTTTTCCTATAACTTTCAGAATCTCTTTACACAGAGAGGACATGTTGATCTAGAAGAGACATACAAAAGTAGATTTTGCATAACAGGTGACCTTTAAAGGATCAGAATATTGTTGCAATAGTTGACATTCTTCTTTTAAAGGATCAAGAGAGATTTTTTTTATACTGATAGTCAATAAAGTGTAAAGTGGGTTTGTGGGATTGCTGTATTTGAGTTTCAAAAATGTTCACCATAAAGCCACTTCAGGGTGAATGTGTGCTCATGTTAAGGGACAGCAAACAGAGCATCGGCACAAAGAGCTCCATTGTTTGTTGCACAATAAGAGACATGAGCGGGCGTCTGTGAGTGGCTCTGCAGGGGGAAATGACTTATACAGGTTTCAACATGCTAACAGGAATCCATTGTGGGGGAGGGGGGCAGAGGAGGGTCGAGGGTCTGAACAAGTTCCACATCTGATAAGATAGATAAAAAAGGTAGATTCTTGCAGGTTTAGGAGGAGATACACCTGAACAAACACGATGATTGAGTTACCTTATAGACCTTTTCAGAAACAAACAGTGGCTTTATAGAGTGACATCAGACAGATGCTTGAAATTCCTGCTGTGATTGCTCGCTGTGTTTGTCGTGTTCCTGCCGGACCCTGCCTCCCTCCCCTCACTCCAGGCGCTATAAAGCATCTGAGTACAAAGTGTGCGTTACTCTTCTCTGCATCCCGAGCAGCAGCACTCCTCCACCATGACCTCCTATGCTCGCTTCTCCTCCAGCAACCGCCTAGGCTCCATGAGGGCCCCCAGCGTGTACGGTGGTGCCGGGGGGTCCGGGGTCCGCATCTCCAGCAGTGGCCCCAGGAGCTTCTCCTCGGCCGGAGCAGGGTCTTCCTCCAGAGCCCGGTCAGGGTTTTCCTCCCGATCCGGGTCAGGCTTCAACCTGAAAGACACCATAGATGTAAATGACAACAACAAGAAGGCCACTATGACCAACCTGAACGAGCGCCTGGCCACTTACCTGGACAAGGTGCGCATCCTGGAGAAGGCCAACGGAGAGCTGGAGCTGAGGATCAGACAATTCCTGGATAACAAGACCAAACCCGAAGGCCACGACTGCTCCGGCTTTAAGGCAGCCATCAGCGACATGCAGGACCAGGTGAGGGAGTCAGGTTTCACATTATTGTCTCGCAATGTAGGGTAATTGGATTGAGCTTCCACCCACGTCATAAAACCCAATCCACATGCAGACAATCCAAGACAAAGAGAGGTACAAGAAACATTACACAAGTATAGCTACTGAGGAAGATGCAAAGTGGTGACAGGGAAAAAGGTTAAAGTAAAGATAAAGCTTTGTTGGTTTTCATATTTTATGTTTTTATTGCAGGAGCAATAAAATAGATTTAAAATCTGGACTCCTCCCAGATGGTAGTTATTTAGTTTACTTGATTCATTGCTTGATTTGAACAGTCCACTGGATAACATGTTTCTTTCTTTTCTTGAGAATTCCAAGAGATCTTAAAGCATTCATATTACCAAAATAATTGCAAACAGTTGCCTCAGTGTAGGTAGATTGCAGGACTGGATGCTGTCTCATGTTCAACCCTAATCCCAAAGCAGAGCCACAATAAAGAATGAGATCATGTGAAAATGAATCTTGTTCAGCTCAGAGATTCCTCCTCCCTGACAATGTTAGGATCCTCAGGTGTGCAGCCTGCAGACAGACAGACGGAGAAACAACATGTGTTTCCTGCAAGATGCATTCAGGTTCAGCCACACCCTAAACCCAACAAGGCTTCCTGAAGTGGGATCAGGCTCGGGCTCCAGATTTGCATGATGTGCATACAGGCAACACAAAAACAATGAGGCAGAAATTTGACTTATGTTTGAATATAATTATCTCTTCTCTTTTCATCTTGAGTCTAAAACAAGAACAACCTGCAGATAGGCCTTAGTGTGCTGTTTGTATTGCACACATTTCCCCATTCTTGCAGAGGAGACTGGGACTCAATCATTTCATTGCAGAAATGTCATTTTGCAGAATTTAGATAATATGTTGTCTTAGAGTCTCACGTTCTATTCAGAGAGTCTGATGATGAATAAAAGACTAACGGTGAGTCCTCTTTGTTTCAGATCCTTTACGCCACCACCACAAATGGATCTCTGTACCTGGCCATCGATAATGCCAAGCTGGCCGCTGACGACTTCAGGGTCAAGTGAGATCATGATAATTTATTTAATGTATTGGAGCTTTTCAATGTATTGTCAAAGCCCAGCCTAGTTAAGGCCACTAGAACTTAAAGACAATTAGAGATGCAAAATGCAGGTAATTAGAAACAAAAGACATATAATAGATAACAATGGGTTACTAAAATATACCTTTAATGCTAGTTTCCTGATCATGTTTACCTTTTTATAAATTGTTTTATGTGGGTTTTTTTCTCTATATTTACTAATTATTGTTATTTTTATTTATTTGTTATTCGGCCCTTGCTGACTATGATTTATCAGTATCATGGTGAAATTAGGAGGACATATGCTAGCCCCGTTATATATTATCCTCTTGCCGTCAACTCCAGATATTATTATTTATTATTATTATAAATATCATTAATATATCTACTA